TCAATCTGTTCTTTTATGTCATTTTCATCCTTATTTTTTCAGATATACAGGAGTTCTACGAAGAGACGTTGCTGAATGAGGAGAAGTCGTTGGCGGAGAAAACGATCGAGACGAATCTGGTGGCCGACCGTTGGGAAACGAATCCGCCGATCGTGAACGCCACGGACACGTCTTCACCTAAGAAGGCAAGCATATGTAGTCGGATCTCTTCCCGATTATCTGCTCCGTGTAATATCTTCGGCGAAAGTTCGAAGAATGGCAGTGGTCTAAACTGACGCTATTCATCTTTTCAGCAACACAATGACTTTCGACACGCACACAGTCTTTTGCTTGATTCGGACGTGTCGGCTTTTGTCATGACAGCTGTCATCATGGAGTTGAACACTGTGATGATTTTTTTACCTGAAGCCGAAGCCTCGGTATCAAGTAAATGATTGTGTGCTTACCAAAGTCTGTGTTGCTGAAGGGCTGGATAATTAAAATTTAGCTGTCGTGTACCGAAAATCAACTTTCGATGATAATCTTAACCTTCATTTGAAAATAACATGTTTTTCTACAGTCGAATAGTGTTCTGGCATCGTTGATTGTACTGAACATGCGGCAGAACGATTAATTGCAATAAGGCAGATGTATCAAGTGACATTTCAGTTTGTAGTGCGTAAACCTTTCAGAAGAGAAGATCTTCTCTAGTTTTTTTCATTTCCATTTGAAAACCTAGAGAAGGTCTGATGTCATGGAACATTCACTTGACGACGAAAATGAAGATCGTCAGGTCGTTTCGATCTTACTTACGAAAACACATGAGCGTCGTTTAAACGCGTTCCAACAACTTTTTCTACGCCACATTCCCGAAGTTCAAAGGAATAGCGACCAAAGTGGTACTAGCCGTAACCGAACTGTGGTAATGCGGTGACTGCGGTACTGTCTGCTGCTACAGAAGAGACCAAATTCATGGGTTGGTAATACCATGTGTAAGGACAATCCCACTATGGGGTCCGAATCCGGTCACCGACTCTCCGGCTTCCAACGTCGAGTTTGGAAGGGCCTTCTTGAAACGGACCTGTAGTCGTTTGGGAGTATCTCCTTCATGAATGCGACAGAACATGCCTACAATTGCGACTCCACCTACCTTCCTGCGGACATTATTATATTTACCATTGCGGTTATGCCGTGACGTTTAATAGACGATGGCGCGCGCACCGCAAACGGCGCCACTGTTAGTGTCCCTTACTGGGAGCTGGAAAATGGCGATTTCGAATTGCTGATGCTGTGTTTCTGACGAACGTAGAAGACCATTCATCGCGCTATTGTCTTCGAAAAATACGACACTTCTGGCGGAGGAGATCGTGATAGTCGCAGTGAAAGGGAATTTCTCTGACTGACGCATCCGTCGTGGAAATTTAAACGAGGCATATGCGTCTCAGTCAAAAACTTTTCTCACAATGATTACCACTTTAAATACCAGTAGTTGACGCAACGGAGGTTGAAAGCATCACCGAATTGTGATTCCGATGCACTACATCGACGGTTGTGCACGTTATTAAAGGGTCATCCTGTCTACGGTCCTTTAGATTAGATGTCCGTTCTGGACATACAGCCATGATTGACGCTCTGGAATGGATTTCCTCTCTTTACATGGACACACCCCACATAAACAGCGCCGCTTCTTCTACCTCAGGTCCGTGTTATACATCGCCTTATGAACGAAAGAACTTTGTTGCGTTGCCAGAGAGAAAGTACTTCTGATTTAATGTTGTAAAACTTGTGACGAATGTACGTTCTGTTTTTAGTTGATGGAAAGGAAGGAAAGGACAGTTTGTACACCATTGAAATGTCGGTTTTCATTGCACGTTCATGATGGGTCCATTTTGGACCCCCCCTCTTTTCATGTTAATAGTGGAGCGCTGATCTCCATTTCCATGCCATCGGTTAGGAGCGCCTTAATTTAAAGTCATAATCGACAGCGATTATATGGCAAGCAAAGCGTGTAGTCTCTTGTTCCCTTCCTCCAGACCGGTACTCATTTATAAACCTGTGAAGGAAGAAAGGCGAATGACTCGATCGGGGCTCAAACATGGTACCTCGCGGTTCGGAGTTTAGCGCTTCATCGATTGAGTAACCTCGGTCTAGTATTCGTTTCGTGTTGGTCGGAACGTACGATTTAGCCCGTTAATGCTACCTGGCGATTAAGAGGTTGTGCAGTACTGACGCAGTGACAGTGCTAACATTTAGCATCGATTGTACTTCACGTCCTGCTTGAACATGTCAAACTGCTTTCTGTGGCACATATTCGTGCTTCTTTACGTAAGCTGGCTACTTAGTTTTAACTCGCAATACTGACATCTCACTAGGTGGCTGCACACAGCACTTCGTAAAGTACCAGCGAAACTTTTTTCGAATAGGTCGAATCAGTGAGGTAGCCGACCAAAAATGCTGCTAGGTTAACTTTTGGAAGTCCTTTCGGCGGTACAATGTAAACAGGACGTTGTGAGTTGTGAGTGACGGCGATTGTCCGATAAGTCAGGTAGGTTAGTGAATTGTGCGACTCGGTCGTTTTTCCGCATTTGATCGCATGCCAAGTTTTCGATCGTTTGATCATTAAAACGGTCCGCCGTAGCATCGGAGTTGGCGTGCTCGAACGGTCGGTTAATCACAGCCTGCACTTTGAGCGATGAGTATATTGATTAACTCGTATCGT